CCTGATCATAATTACTCCTCAATGGATCGAGTCCAGACCGAACTTCCCGACCAAAACATTTTGTGGGCGGAGTTCGGGCTGGCATTCAGGCTAGCTGATCGCTACCAGTGAGATAGATCAGAAAGCACTGCATGTTGTTACCGGCAGGCAATTGTCCGGGAAAGGATGACAATCTGTAGTTAGTCCAGATGCATGAAAGAGCATCAGACTTACAGGGAAAGGTACTCTTGAAGAACTCTTTCAATTAGGCACTCTTTACGTGCACAGAAACCTATGAATATTAAAGAGACCATGTTGAAAAGCTAATGAGATCAAAAGAAATAATCATTTATCGCAATAGGATAATTATGCACAGTACAGTTTTTTTTTTTTAAATTTACTCTTAAGATTTGTACAATTCAATACAATTGAGCACATTTCTTTTTTTCACAAGGGAGTATTTAGCAATCTTCTTTTACTTTCTTTAAGTTTTTTTGTTTTTGTTTTTCTCAATGGTAAACTACACCCCCAGTATAGATACAATGTCAACTGTATCTAATGTTTGTTTCTTTATGACTTAAACAAAAAAAAAAAAAACGAATAAAAAGCAGAGTGAAACAGGGAAAAATAAACGTAGCGACACAATAAACCCATAAACAAAAGAAAAAAATACATAAATATACATAGATCATACATACGTAAATCCTGTCGTAGATCTAGGCATGTGGAGCTTGGGGAGGATGAGGGTTTCAAAGGAACTCTGCAGGACTAGCTTACAGCAAACAATGACAATGATTGACTGAATTTGATGAGTGAAGTATTTTTACATGTTGGTACCATACACATACGGGGTGAGGTGAGTTACAAGGCAAAGTTTAATATTTAGTTAGGTTAAGGATCCAATGCTAACAGTGATGCTTTCCTAACAAGCACAACTAATAACTTAGAGATACAAATAAGCCATTAGGACAGAGGAATGTAACAAGCATGACGTAAGCTGAAGTGGTTGTTTCTGAACTGGTCATGAAAGCTCAGAGCCCTTAAGGACACCAATTGGGTTTTCAATTTCCACCAGCGTTTCAGAGGTGCTTTGGAGGTTAGAATTTTCCATCATCCAAGACACCATGCTTATTTTTATAGCTTCGTGATTTTTAATCACAGATTTTCCATGACTGCAACAACTCAATGACTCAATGTAACCCCAATAATTTAGGATCTACCTAAACCTTCATTTAGTCCTAAATTTAGTTCTTCATTTAGTCCTTCATTTAGTCCTAAACTTTTATTGTCAGCCTTGTTGATGTTCATGTGTGGACAGGAGGAAATGTACAAAATTAAAGGCATATCTGCATTCGTTCAGTGCTGCTACAAATACACTTGTATGCATCTGCAGGTCCATCCACAACAACTGCATGTGCATTAACAGATGGTTCAACGTGATCTCATGAGAATACGTATGTATTTATACGTAAAGTGTCGTTCTATCATACGTATATATAATTACGTTTTATATGCGCAGAAACGTATAATACTGACGTATTTACAGTACTAAAACGTAAAAAATTTACGTATTGACAGCACAAAAACGTAATTTATTTACGTATGAACAAATCCACCGACGTACACATTGTACGTATCACAATTTATGCATATTAATATCGTAGCAGCATTATGTTTTGACTCTGTTGCATTCCACTGTCTTATTAATGAAGTTTTCAGTCGCATTTATTTATATAATACTCATAAATATGAACATTTTGCTCGTTTCGCCTGCATGTTGTTAAACAATACACTATAATACAGTCTTTAACGTTAGCTACTCGTTCAACCATTTTGTAATCGTTTATTTACCTTGAGACACATAAAGCGTTTTCTCCTATAAAACACAAAAAAAAATCACAAAAGACATCAATTTGATTAGTTTGATGTAATCCAAATCTTTAGAATCCATAGTTGTTTGTAAGAAACAACTCCTAATTCAGCCTCTTATCCAGTCGTGATCTCTCCATTCTCAGCAGCGACCGTACATGTCAAACCCCGCGCTGATGAATTTCAAATTCAAAAATTGCCGCATTGCGCCCTTGAGAAGCGATACGTCATGTTTTACGGCAGTGATATCAAACGTTCATTGGCTGTTCCCTGCTTCGTCACAGTTTGCGACATGAAGGACTGTGCTGGTTGGTTAGTTTAGTTCATTTGAATTTTGAAATGGAGAAGCGAGAACCGAAGTCGGATTAACATTTTCATTATTTAATTTCTGCTCTGTACTTCATACAAAACTATTACAATACTGCCAGAGACAGAGAGAAGACTGCGACTGCAACGCTTCATCATGTGAACGGCTTTTGGTATCGGTTTTGACATTTTTGCAATAAATAAATGATTGTGATTATACTTGTCTGTTAGTTATTTTTTTCTTAATAATTGTAGTTACGTAGTTTTAAGGAATTGTTATGGGTAACGTTAGGTTTAGGGGTAGGATTGGTGGCTCAAAATATATTTTAATGTTATATTGTTAATAAAACTACCCTTTCCCAACACCTGTCCGTTACGTTTTATCCTTTTTTATATTAAGTATAAAATGGGTATGTTTAGGTTTGGGATTAGGGTTACGGGATCTTACATTTATGTATAAAATGGTAAAAAGGGAAATTATACAGATATCTTTATGATATAGAATATACGTAAATAGTTTACGTTTTGTAGCTGTAAAAACGTAATAATGTTACGTTTAAATGTTGCAGATACGTCTATATTACACGTTTTAGCACCTATCCAAACGTTATAAAAAGTACGTTTTCTATCTTTGCAAAAACGTAAAATACCTACGTATTAACAATGAGACCAGGCTGGATGGTTTCAGGAAAACTATTAATTTCACCCATCGGCAGCTCACTTGTGTATTCTCTTTTCAAGGCAGAAGCTAATCAGCACAAAATACCCAGGACACAGTTTTGAATATAGTTTCATAATAAATGAGTAAAATCCACTGCCCCTCTAAAACAAGCCATCAAAATTGACTCACTGACTAATGGTTAACTATTAAAGTTGGAAAATTAGAGCTCATCATCGCTGTGCTCCAAATCTAGTGAGCTAACTCTACACAGGCAATTTCATTTGGCAGCATTTTACCCTGAATGAAACATTGTAAGTAACTGATTTAATATCAGGTCAATACTGATACTAGACAGTAGGTGCATTAAGATCAACTCAAGTGTGCCAGCCAAACATCCTCAAAAATATTTCTGATACAATTTGACATTATAGCGCATGTTACAACACAAAACTCTAAAGCACCTTTCACATGGTTTGCAAGTATGTATATTCACCATGCAACACTTTAACCTTTATGTTAAATCACAAATAATATCATGGAAGGGTGATTTCCTTTTTTCGCAGCAGAATTTTATTGTAACCTTTGAGAAAAACTTTGTAAATACACCTTTAAAGTCTCGCTTCTCCTTTATTTTAAAGATATACTCCACCCAAAAATGAAAATTCTGTCATCATTTACTCACCAAGTTGTTGCAAACCTGTATGAGTTTCTTTCTTCTGCTCAACACAAAGGAAGATATTTATAAGAACGACAGTTGTTTGGCACCATTGATGACCAGAGTAGAAAAAAAAAAATACTATGGAAGTCAATGGTGCCAAAGTTCCAATCGTTCTAAAAAATATCTTTTGTGTTGAGCAGAAGAAAGAAACTCATACAGGTTTGCAACAACTTAGTGAGTAAATGATGACAGAATTTTCAATTTTTAGAATTTCCTTTTAAGAATAAAGAAAGACAAATGGGACATTTCTAATTTTCTCCTATCAACAGTTTCAACAGTCTCAGTTTCAGCCATTTCGAAAGAGTCTGCTAAAAGAGTAGGCAAAAAGTAGACCCACTAGTATACAAAAGCTTCACAAAACATTCTGAAGAATGTCAGGCATGTTAAAAACATTGATGTTCGAAAACTCATACAACACTCCTCGTGGTCTGGAGAGAGAGAGAGAGAGAGAGAGAGCGAGAGAGAGAGCGAGAGAGAGAGAGAGAGAGAGAGAGAAAGAGAGAGAGAAAGAGAGAGAGAGAGAGAGACTTGACTGAGCCCATACATGGAAATCTAAGGGGGGTTTGCCAAGCAGTCATGCAGTAAAAGTCATGATCTTTCTTGCTCTACTGTCAGAAATCTCCTTAGATTCTTTCTTTATATCTCTAAAACACACTTTTGTTCACCCCTCATTCTCCTTTTTACTCACTGAGTTTGTTTAACATTAAAAATCAGTCAAAGTCAGCTATCCAGCAGCCTTTGTCAAACAACTCATCTGATGAAGAGTGTGAGAAGTGAATGACTGGTTCACCAGTGAACACAGACATCCACTAGGGTTTGTTCTGTACTACACTCCTATATTAGTTATATACAGTATCATATTATGGAGGATGCAAAACTAAAGACCATATGGCAACAATAGAACATAGTGCAAAGGCTAAACCCAATAATTGTCCAGCTTAAAACGTTATTTTACAAAAGTGTCCAGCCAGACAGAGAGTGGAAAACTATTCACTATTTTTCATCTTTCCCTGAATCTACAGATATATGAACTAGGTTAAATGCAGATGAATGTCTTTGTTTCTGTGTATTTTTAATCTGATTTTAAGCAAGATATGTTTACAGCAAAAAGCAACCTAATAAACAAAATCTCTAACAATTGAACAACTTTACAGAAAATTGCAAAATTCACTCTAATTAACCTTATCAGAACTCAAATGGAGAGTTTCCTGTTAGGCTTTAGACCAGTGACCTTTATTTCTTTCTATCTTTTCATCTTTCTTTCTCTTCTAGAACAAAGTTATTTAATAAGTAATTATTCTTAGTAAAATATATCCCGAGTGAAATTGTCTAAAAAAAGCTACAAGCTACTTAAAAGTGTGTGTGTGTGTGTGTGTGTGTGTCTGTGCAGTAGTGGGAAAGGTTCACATCTCCCACGCCACTCCATATTGGGATATAAAAGAGGAAGTACATATTTTGGAAACTCACTCTCTGTGGTCGGGGTAGAGGGCTTCCTGCTCCGCTTATCAGCTGGCGTGGAGACACTGGGATCTGAACACAGACATTCAGAGAGAAAGAAATACAGAGAGCAAAATTAGAATCATATTCATGTGACCCCCATGAAAGCAGCAAACCTCCTCCTCAACGGTCCCACTTTATATTAAGTGGCTTCAAGTACTATACTTGCATCGAAATATAAGTACAATTTACTTATTGTATTCAGGTTGTATTATAAAACACTTTTGCTCCTAATGAGGTGTGATACGGGTAAGGTAAGGGACAGGTGTGGTGGTATGTGTCGGTTTAAGGGTAGGTTAAAGTGTAAGGGAAGGTCAACAGTGTAATTACAAATGTAATTACATAAATTAATTAAGGCTGTACTTACAAGCAGGTATTTTCAAAATATAAGTACAATGTAAAAACATGTATGTACACAATAAGTCCATTGTATCAAATTATTAATTTCAATGTAAGTACATAGTACTTAAAGCCACTTAATATAAAGTGGGACACAAACAGAATATCTAAGCTAATAAATTATTTTGAGAGTTTATTGTCATTCTTTCATTGCCACTAATTGCTAAGACTAAGACAAAAGTCAAAATGTCAAATCTGTGTTTAAAAATTGGAATTTGGCAGTTAAAAATAGCAGAAGCCGCTGAAGCACAAACTATATGAGATGTTTATGCAAGAAAAGTATAACATTAAAGTATTTAAAGGGATAGTTCAGCCAAAATCTTTAATTATGTTATTAATTACTCACCAGCATGTTGTTCCAAACCTGTAAAACACGAATGAAGATCTTTTTGTTGAAATATGAGGACTTTATGTCCTTATACAACATCCATTTTGATGCTTTAAAAAGTTCACAAAGAGATTGTACAACTAATCCAAATTAATTCGCCTCACAGCGCAGGTCCGACAGTTTTTCACAGCGCTCCATTGACTTTCAACACAGGCGTCTCATATTTTTGGTCTCGGCAGGCTATTACCATCGTAGTTTAATCAAAAATATAGTTAAACGTTGTGCCTGGGACATTTGTAACACAGACACTCATTTCCCAGGGAGGTTGGAGGGGGTGTCCGTTTTTTCCCTTCCCAACCGAAGTCAAATACTGACAAGTGTCGTCTTTGGATTAAACTGTGTGGACGTCCTCAGTCAGCTAAACATATTGCAGCCCCTTTTGCCTACTTCTATCGGACACTTTATTTGCTGCTTTATAAAAGTTTGATAACATTTCAGCAGGAAGAGCTTTCACAGCATAAGCCATGTTGATACCAAACCAGAGCCCAGATGAAGTTTGACGGACGTAGCAACAGTAACTAAGGGGGGCGGGGCTTAGACAAAGGTGAATTGAGCGGTTCAGTCCAAAATGTTCTGAATTGAAATGTTGTGGAAATGGAAGCTCAAGCATGTTCACCTGACGTTCGAGAACCAATGAATCTCCTTATGAACTTTTGGAAGCGTCAAAGTGGTAGTTTCGTTAGAGTTCTCAACGGGCCTGAAAATTATTACCCAACCCAGCCCGTGGCTTTTAAAGCCCGGACCCGATGTAACCCGACACATCAACATTAATTCTGCCCGCGGCCCGACTCAAACGCGCTCTACAATCTATTATCGTTGCGGCGTCTATTCATTCCGGTGAAATCACAAAATAAAATGCACACAAACTTAGAAAGATTGACTTACTAGTCCATCAACAAGATCGCCAGGTCAGCATCACCGTTGCATCCAGTGCTGCTTTTTAGCTTGCACCAAAAAAAAAAAAGCACGGCCGAGTGGGACTCTTGTCCGGTTTCTCACGCGGTCAGATTCTCTTTTCCTTTTCCTAGTCTTCCGACCGTGTTTTCTTTGCTTTTTCCATCGTCTAGTATCACGTCTGAAATGCGCGCAAGTGCAGTGTTGACAACTATTTTCAAAGGAAAGTAGCTAACGCCATGCCTGTTTAAAAAAAAATCTTCACACAATAATAAATAAAAAGAACTCAAACAGTCAACCAGCGGGCGGACTACGAGTTTTGAAACAAAATAGGCCTAGCCTACAAACATAATCATATGCTTATATTAGGCATCATGGAGGAAGATCAGTGCGTCCACAGTGGGAGGCGTGTTCTCCTCTCGGCCAGCCACCCGCGATGCACTTTGCAAGCAGCAGCCAGACTTTCTTTACGGTTAACAGCAGCGATGATTAATAATTTGTTTGTTTTTTTTACTGGGCGGAAAAGATTAAGCCCGAGGTCCGACCCGACCCGACCCGAGTCATTTGCTTATATTTTCGACCCGAACCTGGAACGAACCTGTGGGTCCCGTCGAGTTTGTCGGGCCGACCCGACCCGTTGAGAACTCTAAGTTGCGTAGCTGTCAATGGAGGGACCGAAATCTCGCAGATTTTACCAAAAATATCTACTATTGTGTTACAAAGATAAACGAAAGTCTCACGGGTTTGGAACAACATGAGGGTTGGTAAATTATGACAGAATTGTCATTTTTGGGTGAACTATCCATTTAAATAAAACTAACATGCCAGCTTTTGTCACTGTTAAGCAGGAAAGAGATGTCTAGAGTCAATTTTAATGACATTTTATAGTATAAGAGAAAGACATCTGTAGCAATGATGTGTCCTGTAAAGCTGGACGCAGAAATCTAGAGAAGCTGTTGGGATATCCTGTTCAGCATGACCAAGATATCTAGATACAACAATAGGGACATGCCCAGTAAAGCAGGATTGTGAAATCTTGACAGATCTTAAAGAACACATCCTTTAAAGTGGGACATAGAGATCTAACAGCTGTAAAGACATGTCCTGGAAACCACAACAAAGATAAAGATAAATAGATAGCTGGTATGTATTGGAAAGCAAGACACAAAGATCTAGAGATGGGTGATAGAAACATTACACAGGGATCTACAGTGGATAAAATGGAAAGAATATTGAAATTGGACATGACCCCGTTAAGCAAAACAGAGATGATTGTAGAATCAAGTCTTGTAAAGTAGGACAAATTTATTATGAACAGCTGTAAGGACATAACATGGAAATCATAACCGTGACATATAAACAGCTGTAGGGACATGTTCATTAGTTAGGACATAGAAATCTACATATGACTGGTGAGGCATGTCCTGTAAAGCCAAACAGAAACAAGAGAATATGTTATCCTGTCAAAATCGATCTAGAGATGGTTGTGGGAAGATGTCCTGATAAATCTAGAGGTCCTTTCGAACTTGACAGGGAGATGGCTTTATTGACATGTCTTGTTAAATAGGATAAATACATCCAAAAACACATCTTCTAAAGTGGAAAAGAGTGATCCTTGGTTGTAAAAATGGTTGTAATGGTTGTAAAGACATGGTCTGGAAACCAGAAGAGAGAGAAAGAGACATGTCATTTAATCAGGATGGAAGGTTCTAGAGCTGACTGCAGGGACAAGATTGATTGATTGATTGACAAGTCCAGCAAAGCAGGACCCAGAAATCTAGAGATGGTCATTGGTACATGACCTGTAAAGTCAATCAGAGATCCACAGATAATTGTAAAAACATGTTCTGTGGGTCATAGAGATTTAGAGACAGCTGTAAAAAGTAACAAGGAGATCTCAGGACATGGCATGCAATGTAGCCAGATCTGGTCAGTAATTACCGGAAGCTGCAGAACTCGGGCAGAGACTCTAGGGAGGGAGATATACTGCCCAGCCCAAAACAGACAGACTCAAACCATAATATTCTCAGAGAAAACAAGTGTTTTGACATAGTTCGCAAGTAGAGAGAGAAATAAGTATTTGTGTTGTACAATTAAAAACTTTGAGTTGTAAAAACAATATCACTAAACGTAAGAAATACGGACACTCTTGACTCATAGGGTTAGAGTACGTCTCATCTCTCAGATAGTCTATTAAGTTTCATAGAGTAGTAGATACAGGAAAATAATTCTGCAAACACATTTATTGTACTGGAGTGTTATAATATAAACTCACCATCCACAAGGACCATGCAGGAACATTCTGCTTTTCCCTCATTTGTCTCTGCCCTGCACACAAATTCTCCTTCATCCTCAGGTAGAGCTTTATCAATGGATAGAGAGCACAGACCACCTGCTTACACACATATAAACACACATTAAACAGTTATTCTCAGAGGGTTGAAGAATCCCCTTTTTTTACAGGAAAGTTAATCTACATATACTGATAACATCTGCTGCATGCTGGAAATTACCACATAGATCTTTTGGACTGGTCCCTTAATCAGAAAAGCAGTTGTGGTCTTATAATGGATGTCTATGGGGCAAATGTGCAATGACAGATGTGTTTGGTACTTCTCTAAACACGGATTTAACCTGGATAATTCCTGCAAACCACACATGCATATTAAATCAGATATTCCTTAAGTACACAGGTTAACCTGTATTTGTCACTACATTGATGTACGAGAGTCAGATTGAGAGTTTGTGAAACTCTTTTTCACAAGAGTTAGTGAAAATACATTGCATGCTATTAAGAACACAGGAGGTCAAGCCACAGAGATACATCCCTTTTCTCTCGAATATCATTACTTATAATCCTAATACATCATGAAACATCTTAAATAAACTTTCATCTAATCAGACTCCTGCTGGCTGATACCAGAGTGTCATGTGCCCACTGTTCAATGACAATGTAACAGTTACTTCTGGTCCTCTTGTCTGATTGGATAAGTGGCGTTCTAAAAGTGCTCATCTTTGTTTGTGGCGTTTCAGCCAACCTCAGCAGATCACAAAGTTGGTTCAACATTGGCTTCATTTGGAACTATTTTGGTTAGTGGACCAAAGGTAAACTGTCTGTAATGTCAGGTACTCAATATTAACTGATTGTTTGTATAAAACTGTGATTACCTCTGGCCTGCTGATGCTTGAAACATGTACACATGCATACAACATAACAGAGCCCCTGATAAACGCCACAATGCCAAACTTTCTCCATGATTAACTGCAACAAATTGGGCGTCTCACTTGGGTAATTTTAAATTGTAAATGCAACACTGACCCTCGTAAGTAATGACGATGAATTTGGATGGTTTGATGAGTTTTCCATCAAGCGTCCATGTCACTTTAGCGGGAGACTCAGATGAAAGTTGGCACTGTAGATGCAAACGTTCCCCATCCAATACCGTCACGTCAACCAGTTTCTCTGTAAAAAAGGGCTCTTTTTTCCCAACTGAATTTGTTTTCTCTTTTCTCCCTCCATCCACACAATTCACGTCATTGTCCTTTCCTCTGGTGTCTTTATCACCGTGGCTTTCTCCATTCCTGTCCTGGCTTGGTTGTTTTTTCTTGTTGGCTAACACTGATCTAAAGTCAACAGCTTCATTTTTGTTGGGTTGTGTTTTCACTAAGGATCCAGGGCCAGGTTTGGGGCCTGGGGTTCCTTTCTTTCCCAGCACTGCTCTGAAGTCCACCTGTTGTGGAGAGTTGACTTTACGTTCCTCTTCCGTCAGCGTCTTGGGCTTGATCTGCCGTTGAAGGTTCCCCCTGAAGTCCATCTGCTCGGCCGTGATCTCCTTCAGGTCTTCCTCAGAGACGCTCTTGGTGTTGACCTTGCGGCCGAGCACAGTTCGGAAGTCAATCTGTTCGGCCTCCTGCTGTCGGATTTGGTCTTCTCTGTGTTCCTTTGTCTCTACACGCCGTTTTAGAAGCCCAAGGGTGGCAGACCCCTCCTCTTCTTTCTGACCTGTCTGACTGTTGAGGTCCCAGAGTGGCTCAGAGCACGACGTTGCAGGGCTGGGAGTCTCTGGATGTCCTCCCCTGCCTGGTGGAGTCCTCTCCACCCCTCGGCTGCCACAGGAAGAGTGGAGAAAAAAAAACATACAGAGATGTTTAAAGCCTCAGCTAGCTCAGCCCACACTGGAGAGCAGCTTAATCAAGAGGAGAGTTAGTTCAACACGACAGAGTTGCATCAGAGATGACTTCAGAAGCCTTATAGGGAAATGAGACCAGAATGGGGCCCCTAGACTAACCCACACTCCTCTTTAGACAACAGCACAGCTGAGTGAGGAAGCATAAACAGAGCATTTGGTTATGTAGAGATATTATGTAGATTTAGTGCAGGGCTTAAGGGGCAAGGGCTGTAAGTACAGCTTCGGGGCAGAGGAGAGCAAGAATAGAAGGAAAACGTACTGCTTATGAGAATCGTCACCAGCCAACATGGGGTCCTCGCTGACGTGCAGAGTGGCCACTGACCTGCACTCTCCTACTTTATTCCTGAGAAGCAACAGAATATTTGTGAATGCTATTTGTGAATTTGTGATGCACAAATGATCCGGAAGGTCCAGCCATTGTGTGTTGGTGTTAAAAAAAAAAAACATTCAGGAGAGTAAGGTGCAACTGCAAACTCAAGCGAAATCATTATGCAATAGCCATTTTAACTCTCCATCCTCCCTATTTTTAATTTCTATTTTTCTTCCCCTTTGTTTTTGTTGTTTTTTGTTTTGTTTGTATAATCTTTGTTCTTTTTTATACCCCCCCCCCTATATTTTTTTATTACTATTTTTTTTATTTTTATTATTATTATTTAATTTTTTTATTTATTTTTTGCATGTGTATGAGGGTATGTGTGTGTATATGTAGGTATGTATGTATATATTTGTGTATGTGGATGCATGTATGTATGTATACAGTATATATATGAATGTATGTCTATGTATATGTATGTATATATATGTATGGATATATGGGTATGTGTGTATATATACATGCAGGTATGTGTGTATGAATATGCATGCACGTGTATGGGTCTATACGTGTAGGTAAGAGAGATATAGATGCATCCGTATTGCCATCTGTCGATTTTGTTTGTATATTTGTATACGTTGGCTCACTTTTCTCCTCTTGTATTATTATTTTGTTTGTTTGTATGTTCATTTGTTTGTTTGTTTTTTTCTCTTACTGTTATGTTTGTTTACTTGTACTCATTTTTTATATTGATTCCTTAATAAAATTATATATATATATATATATATATATATATATATATATAATAAATATATATTTGTGAATGCTGAAGTTCATTTATGGTAAACTGCAGATTTGAAAAAGTAAATGAAGAACTGCAAAACAACCCTTTCTGATCTGACAGAATGTCGCCTTAATAACTTATGTGTGGATCTCGTAAAAACATTTTTCATAAAAATTTAAAATAAACAATAATCACATAATTACAATACTACCATGGTGTATCAATACTTATTAATTTAATTATTTATATTTAAAATAATATTCATATTTTCATATTTATATTATTTAGTTATTTTTTGTTACATACAATATTTTATGAAATTTATGTTATAAAATAATGACAATGCAAAATTGCTTTTGGGTTAAGTGTCATTTTCACATCTTTTTCACTTGAAACTATGGAGACTGAAATCGTTTTCAATTGATAAAGAATCAACATAATCAAATCCATATCGTTCACCTTGAAAAAAAGAACTCTTTAATTTTATATAAAATCTTTTTTATCCACAAAGTGAAATAAAGCCCCTTGAGTACTACGTTTTAAGTACGTACATTTTTATTTTATGTTGTCAAAGTGAGTCAAAATTAGCAAATAGCTTACTAAAAAAAATAGAGAGAATGTAAACTATAAAGAATAGTTTAGTAAATCTTTTGTTGAAACAAGTGTTAAAATTCTTACTTCAGAAGAATCTCATAGTTTCCAGCATGATGGGTCTTCACTTTCCTGATGAGCAGTGAGACTACATCCTCCTTCTGTAGGATCTCAAAGTCACCGCTTCCAGATATTACCTGCCCTTCCTTCATCCAGAGGAATTCTGGGAAGGGGTCACCAGCGATGGCACAAGAGAGTAGAGCGTGTTGACCCAGAGAGGCGGTAGAGGACTTGGTTTTAGTGATGAACCAGGGCTGAACTCCATCTTGAGGCTCTGTGGTACCACATAAACCAAAATCCATTGGAGATCCACATCCATATTTAACTATTATATTATTCTAAAAGGCTCTGGCACTATTTGTGTTATGCAGTTAGTACAATTTGTACCTTGCACAGTCAGTGAGGCTTCAGTCCGAGCGTCTCCAGCTTCATTCCACACCTCACAGGTGTATGTGCCTGTGTCTTCAGGAAACACTTCCTGTATGAAGAGAGTATACTGACAGCCCTTCTTCTCAAAGTGAAAATCCTCTGACTCTTGAATCTCTTTTCCATTATGCAGCCAGACCACCTCAGGGGCAGGATTACCTACATACAAAACATATCACACTTGTAAATCATTAAGCAAGTTTGGGTTAGAGAAAATTAATGGAGGGCAGTGGGACAAAATAAAGAATACTAAAGTGTGTCAAAGAGAGTTAACAACAGTGTCTTGCAAGCCACACTGCACACATTTTGTTGTGACTTCAGCAATGTTGTTGTGGTCACATGTTCATGCAAATACACAGCCAGGAGACTCCTCAGATGTGGTCGTTACACAGGAAGTACTCACCATTATATAATCACCAGAGCTAAATCATCTGCAAAAACATACTCTTGAGGGAGTAAAAAGGAAATTCCACTCATTCCAACTAAACACAGCAAAACATACAATTCATTGAAAAATAAGGATTTTGGAAATTTGGTCAAAATTGAGATTTTACAAACCTGCATTAAAACATGGTGTGCTTAAATTAATCGCTCAGGGCAACAGTGGCATCACAATCTTCGTGACCACTGTTTTTAAATAGCTTCCAGAGAAGGCCTGTATATATATATTTAATCAAAGTTGTCATTTTACATCTATGGCAGTGATATTTGTTTGATGTTGGTCGTATGTGAAATGTGTGAATTTCCGAAAGGACAATAAACTACACTCAATATTACTCTGCTTTACTCCTAGATTGAAAACTGAAGGTTGTTTCATACCTGACACCTCCACGGTCATGGTCACCTGACTGCCATCCATGACTCTGAGATCCTGCAGACCTTTGAGGAACACCGGGGCAGACGGTCTCCTCACATCAGTCACAGAATGAGCAGCAGACCTCTTAACACTTTGCTTAGCTGGCAAACCACATACAGATAACATGAATGATGCTAAATGTACCTCAAAAACATACAGTCAAACACTATATGACAAAAGCTGCATTAACTATTGTGTTTCACAGAAGAACAAATTTGGTTTCACTTTATTTTGATGGACGGTGCCGGTGTTCTGTCGATTTTTGCTGCCTTGTCGAAAAATGCTACCTAGCGCGAATTGATCACAGAATGCCGATTAAAGTCGTATAAAATACAGTTCTAATACAATGGGCTCTATGCACAGCGTTATTTCCGGTGAAGGATTAAGGATGCTTGATAACTTCCGCCGATCATAGAGTCCAATGCAATACCGATAATTTATATTGAATTTTATACTCCATGGTTATACTAATGAAACGTTAGTCACAAAAACAGATAAAACAGACACCCCTCGTTGTGTTAAATGCTTCTTTTTAAAATTCTATTAAATAAACATAACTATATATAAAATTACATCTAAACGTATGTGCGTTTCGTTTCAAAGACGGGAGGGCAGTACATTTTGCCATAATCCCGTTTTCCTCGGTTTTCCTCCACTTTAATCTCCACAACCGGAAATGGACGAGCATCCTTGCGTCAAATGCGGAACTTTTGCGTGCATATAGCGCATTTACTTTCTATGAAATCTAACCTTTAATTGACAGAATTACTAAAAAAAAATTTGGCTACCTAAAAGTTAAAGATCTTTAATAAAAGTGTGAAATTTCAGGATTTATGTGTGACGTTAGTCTAGTAGAATTTTTTTGAAAAAATATTTTGCTACCTAAAAGTTAAAGATTTTTTGTGTCACGCATGCATGTCTATTGCCCTCAAATTAAATATAAAAACGAATTTACTGCACATGTCGAAATGTGCGCTCTTTGGTCCATCAGTGCTTGTGTCAACATATATCGGAAAACATGTGGAATGGGTCAGACATAATTCTGAGCAATTATTAAGTTTTCTGCGTATCAAATGCATGTAAAAACTAATTTTCGCTTATAAATTGCACGATAATACACAATGCATGCTAATGCATAATCGTTATTGAATCCTTATGTGAATTTATTAGAATTTTTCCGTCTATGTACCTGCTAGTGAGTGAGTGCTATGTGAGTTGCTTTTGAAGTAGACCTAATTGAATGGGAGAAAAGATAAACTTTTTGTAAACCGTTCTGAAAGTTTAAAAATATTGGTATGCAAGTAGCCTTTGTTGCCACCTAGTTCATTATATGCAAATAAATTATAGCCTAGTTAGTTACTGTTTTACACAGTGATATGTTCCGAATCCAAACAATGCATAAAATTGAGGAATTCAAATTGACAACTGGTACCTGGAATTTTTTTTATGAATATGCTGCTCAAGTTTTCCTGCATGCTGCTGTGCTTGAATGGTCTAAAATCACTTGAATGGATATATATATATATATACATATATATATATATATATATATATACATCCAACTTTATCCACATGCACACCGTATATATTCATGTAGGGTGATATATACTGCATAGCAAATAGCAACTTTGTGATTGCTTGTATCGTATTGTGAAGAGCACAATACAAATATATATTTTTTTGAGTAAATAGTACTGTATGTACATTAAAAATGAAGTGCTACCGGGAATTTCTTTCCTTCATTGTTAGGTACTGTATATATTCATATAAAATATTGTATTGAATGTATATTTTCTGAAAATACAGCAAAAAAGTCATGGAAAAGATTTCAGAGGGAAATTTCTCTTCTCTTGTCCTCTGCGACTCAGATGAGATCCAGCCACTACAGTGTGTGTATGTGTGTGTGTGTGTGTGTGTGTGTGTGTTTGGGTGTGTGTGGGAAAAGACTGGTATTTTACATTTTTAACCCACTTGAACATGGAACCTCCACCATTAGACAGCCTCACAGACTGCAAAAGAGCAGATGTTTCTCTAATCCCGAGGATCTTAAAATAACTCTTAAAAAAAAAAAAAAGCCTCCATGATATTCACTTATCAACAGAGCACATAGCAAACGCCTCCTACAGTGTATATGAGAGAAGTTAAAATTTACAACAATCTTTAAGATTTTGGGACTCTGAGTTGACAAGCAGAGTCGGGGGCAAGAAATGTAGGCCTATTTGAGTCTTTTGACAAAATTATATGAAAACACCAATTCAGTTAAATTTAGACTCTCACACTGAAAAGTCTAAAAGACTATTCATACGAAAATATTATGAAATTGAATTTGGGAATAAAAGTGGGATTAGGCCTCCTAATTTTGAACAAATTTAAAAATTGTATTAATCACTGCCAATACCTAAGCAAATGTCATTTGTGCTCAAATGCTCCTAGAGTTTTTGCTCAATGACTTTTAATCAGTTGGCTTTTAATTACTTGTAGCGGATGTATGAAATCAGTTCTCCTTAAATTTGGTCCTAGCAGAGTAACCACAGATGTAGAGAATCAGATTAACTATCAACTTGATTCATTAACATTTTACAGCAACAAAATGTCACAATACTGTTTGAATTTAATATTCTTTTATTATTGAAAATCTCAAAAACAACTTTTTTTGGTGAAATGGTTAGGTTGAAAAGTGAGTTTGAGCTTCTTTGAAGAAAAAAAAATCACTCTGGTTAGATATTTAGCAATCTAATGCAATGCCATTCAGACATTTTTAAGTGCGACTTCAGCATCCAATAGATAAAACATAAAACCTGAACATTACTGGCAAATAAGAATAGAGGAAAGAGATGTGTGTCTTACCTGTAACCAGCACACAAGCTGTACACACAGCTCTGCCATGATCATTCACTGCTACACATGAATACACTCCTGCATCCTCCAAAACAGCTGCCTGAACTTTCAGCTGAGCCTTACTATTCTCAAACATGGTGTGGGAATATGGAATGGGCTTATCTGAAAAGACAGAGAGAGAAAAACAAGACTGTATCTGTAATTTTTCATAATTTTAATTGCGGAGAACTTCACCGAGAAAGGAATCTAAATGATTCGTTATCCATTATTTAAAAGTGATGAGATGGAAAAGGTGACGTTATCAGATAAAATTTCAGCTGAAATACTGACAAACTTATATTGGAGTGATCATAAGAAAATAGAGTGGTGCAGTGATGACAGTGATGATATTTTTGTAGGTCAAACCAGAAGTGTTGTCCCTCAACATAAATGTCCCTATATAGGATGGTTCTATTGGCTTTTAGATTATTACAAAAAAATAAGCTCTCTGACTAACAAAAGTTTATGTGAAACGGTCATGTTCTTTTTTTGGTTTTGTGTACGATTTGGTTCAGTGTACGATTTTGGCCAGAATTTGGATGTCTGGGGCAAAGTTGGTGTATCCTAAAAGATTCCCCAGATGCTAGACCAAAATCTGATGTCTTTGATTGTTAGTTTGACACGTTCACTGATAGCCGATTAATGATCATTGCGATCAAATTGTAGCCTGACTACGTCAGACTTCCTACTTCCGCTAATTTCATTTCGCTCCTGTAGTCAGTCTGAGATAGCAGCCTATCTTTCAGTTTTCCACCGGCCTGAAAACAGCCGGCCAATCAACGAACAGAGGGCGGGCTGAAAGCCGTGACGTAGACACTAAGCGCCGAGTTTACATTGTCGGTTAGAGAAATCGAAAACCGAAACAACCGCAGAAATGGGAAACAAGAAACACGGGATGCAATTCACTCTGTTATGGAGAACATTCCGGGGTTTTTCAAACTGAAGCAAAGGTCGTTTACAGCCATGTTCACTCCGGTATTTCGCTCGCATCATCAGTGTTTACAGCTAGGACCGGCGCGTGCACTTCTGACCCTCTATTTGCAACGTATACCAGCAAAAACCAGCATGCTTGGCCATTATGTAGCTTGCACAACGCGTATACACTTTTACTTCTCTCATCAACACAGATGCAGCTGTTTTTATTTTTGCAAATCATTATAACAAGGAAAAATATTAACACTTCAAGCTTAGACATTTAGGCTACCCAATTTTTTCAGGCTAATAATTGTGGTAATGATGGATCAGACTAGCCTGGTTCAACCAGACTCTAGTTCATTTCATTTCCACATAGAGTCTGGAACCGCTCCATTGAGAAACGTTTCCTTCCTTGTAGGCGGGTTCACTATTAAAGTTCAAATCTATTGGATCTGCCCAAAGTCACTCACGATCTGCCATAGCCAATTGCTAACGGGGTGTCGTGAGTGACGTATGTGACGCGCCGAAATGGCTGGAAACAACAAGTCCGAATGATCAGAGGATTATGTTTACAATAGGATTTCAGTCAACGAGCGCCGCAGGTTTTGTTAATCTAGGAACAATTATTAATTCGAAATGTATATTTGACACGAAGGACAGTGATATTTTCATTCAACGGTGGAAGCTGTGTCTAATCATTACAAATACGCCACTGTGGTCGTTTTCTGATCTGCCGCAAATGCTGTAGCAGCTACAGTGAATGATCAGTCTTGTCTCTATCTGCAGATGTGTAATAAACAACAATTTTTCATATTACCTCTTATTGTTTCTTAATTACCTTAATTATGGTCTTCAAAGTATGTGTTTGTACATTTTTATGTGGCATTAAGTTTTTTTTAGTAAAACAAATCAACCATTGCCATCTAAAACTGAAAATCAAATATCTTCAAAGTATGGTTTTTCACATTTTTATTTATGACAATTATTTTTAAAAAATCACAACCAATTTGTATGATTTAATACATGTAAAACTGACACACCAACCTCCTGCACGAGTGCACAAAGGGGCTCAAAATGTTCTATTCATCACAAGAATCAGTAAATATACAGTTGGGAATATGAGCGACTGACATGACTCCTGAGCGGATCTTCAACCATAGTTTAGCAGCCAGGACTCGGGCTTCCGAACACCGCGAACACCAGGCTAAACCGTCCGTCCAAAATGTCACGGTCATCCTGCACGATCTGCCCAGCACAAACTTACAAATTTTATGCCTCCTTCACTTGGTTCTCAGTTGTGCAACAAGAGGTGAGACGATAACAATCCGGCTTTAAATTCTATATATTCGGCAGTTTCTTTTCCAACAACGGACCGAATAGCTTTTCTCACGTCTTTCTCCGCTGCCATTACTGAACTCAAACTGACGCGCTTACATCAACGTCATCGTTCTCAGCCACTCCCTCTATTCGCTGATTGGTCCTACAAAAAATTGATTTCTGGAAACCTAAGGATATGGAGCGATCCCAGACGTAGTTACTGAAGTAAAATGAAATTGAGCGGAAGTGCGTAGGAGGGCGCAGCCAGGCTAGGATCAGAACTGTTTGGCCATAACTATGTGCATAACTATAAGGACATAACTTACCCCCATTCAACGTCAGTTGAAGAAAGTCGGTCTCCTCGGCTGTGAACGCTCCTGGTGTGCTCTTATTATCATATTATTATTATCATAATAATAATCCACCATATTTCGTTTCGACATCCTGCTGCATTATTCCCAGATATGTGATTCATGATGAACGATCTGTTCATTGCGTATGTCACGTGGCAAATGAACGTAAGACTCGGAAGGTAATTACTTATGTTCCCTGTAAATAATTTTTTTACTGCATTATGATTTCTTAATTTAGAATATGATCAACATTGCGTAGGTGGATGTGATCAGGGAATTTGGCTGTTAAAATTATAACATTAAGCCACTTAAATAAACAAAATGACTCGAATGACTCAGAAAATCAGTAAAATGAACTTCCTATTCATGACTCGCGAAAGCAGCAGCTCGTCCTCGCGGCGCTGCGGGGCGGCTGAAGCTAAATCAGTCATGACTCGTGAGAGCGGGGCAGTAGGCACGCCGACGTTGCGGGGCGGCCGCAACTCAGTAATTCATATAAATAACCTAGTTTGTGAATTATTCATTCCCGGTTGGCACACATTTTGCAGCCCTTACAAAAACGCCGTTCCCTGTTTACAGTGGAAGTTCGATCATAGATTTGAGTTCGATGCATAATGTCTCGATGCGGCCGTGTCGGCGCATAACATATGTCATAAATAAACTTATCCGATTGGCTTATTGGTAACCAATGATTTTAAACTTCAGAGAAGCGCCCCCTTGCGAGAGAGAAAACACTTCTCTATTATGCCATTCCAGACTCTGTCTACGAAGCAAAGTGAAGTAGCAGAGTCTGGTATTACCAGGCTAATCAAATTGTACCTCTGACAAAATTCCTGTAGTCTTGAACAGTGACTTCTATAGGCGCTTTTCCACTGCATAGTACGGTACGGTTCGGTACGTCTCACTTGTGGTGCTTTTCCACTGCATGGTACGGTACAGTACGGTTCGCTTCAGGTCGCTTTAAATGGTACCTGGTCTGTTGAGGTTCCAAGCGTACCGTACCGGTACTAAAATGTGACGTGAAACACTGCAGATCACTGATTGGTCAGACAGAATCGTCACTACTAGCGTCATTGGATTTGCGACACGAGACACTTTTTTAGCAGTAACTTTGCTTTGCTGCCATCAGCCTCATTTTAAACACATTTTTCCGTCTAGCAGTTAAAAACAACCACATACCGAGAATCAGGAACACCATCCCCTCGATAGTCTCCATTGTTCCTGTGTTGTGGGTTTGAAAATGTGGCGCTTTTAAGATGATGTCATGGCAGTAGAGGCGCGCGCAAATAACGATCAGTCCCACACACTTTGAAGGGGTACTACTGCAGTGGAAACGAAAAGCAATCCGAACCGTTCCGCGCCGAGTCAAAGCGTACTGAGCCGAACCGTACCGTACTATGCAGTGGAAAAGCGCCATATGACAACCGTTAAATCAAAAACAAATAGGAGCGCCGAACCTGATGATGCAATTAGTAAGACAAAAACAAACCACCACTTTTTCCACATACATTGTTTTTTCACACATGAGTTTATTAAGCTTATTGAGTTGTACATGCAACGCTTTAAAAGTGATTTATGTTGATGTGCATTCTTTTTGTGTCTGTTGGCTGGACTTGAGCACCGGGGGCAGAGGACTGGCCTATTTGGGTGGTGGTATCTTCCTCACCGTGTGCTGTGATGGGTATCAATCCCTGTGTGTGTGTGTGTGTGTGTGTGTGCACAGTGAAGTGCAGTGATCTTCCTTTGTGGGTGGCGTGGCCTGACTTCTGGCTCTAGGTGAGCCTCGTCCCTAGCCTGGTAATACCAGACTCTGCTACTTCACTTTGCTTCGTAGACAGAGTCTGGAATGGCATAATAGAGAAGTGCTTTCTCTCTCGCAAGGGGGCGCATCTCTGAAGTTTAAAATAATTGGTTACCCGTAAGCCAATCAGATTTATGACGCAGTTTATTTATGACGTATGTTATGCGCTGACACGGCCGCATTGAGACATTATGCATCGAACTCAAATCTATGATCGAACTTCCACTGTAGACAGGAAGCGGCGCTTTTGTAAGGGCTGCAAAATGTGTGCCAACCGGGAATGAATATATTTACAAACTAGGTTATTTATATGAATTACTGAGTTGCGGCCGCCCCGCAGCATCGGCTTGCCCTGCTCTCACGAGCCATGACTGATTTAGCTTCCGCCGCCTCGCAGCACCGCGAGAGCGGGACCGAGCCCCTGCTCTTGCGAGTCATGAATAGGAAGTTCATTTTACTGATTTTCTGAGTCATTCTAATCATTTTGTTTATTTTGGCTTAATGTTATAATTAAAAGTAAAAGACAGAGAACGTCTCGGAGTAGGGAACGGAGACGTTACGTCAGAAGTGACGGAGATTGGGGGATTTCGCATGAAAGCCAATCCTCTTCGAGTATTTAACAATGAGCCAATGGCATGCAATGCCTTGGGGCTGCGGAAATTTGCATAGAGTACTCCGCCCTACTCCGTGAGTATAAAAGGAGGAAGTGAACGCAACCGCAGTATGTCTTCGCTGAG